CTCTCTCTCTCTCTCTCTCTCTCTCTCTCTCTCTCTCTCTCTCTCCTCTCTCTCTCCTCTCTCTCTCTCCTGTCTCCTTCTCCCCTCCCCCCTGACACACTTCCCCCTCTTTTTTTCTCTCTGGCTCCCAGCTAGGTGACTGTGTCTGGTTCTTGCCTTCTTTGTTAGGTTTTCAGTCAGAGAAGCTGCTTCTTTTTCCTCTTTCCTCCTCTCTCTTGATTCTCTCCCTTTCTCTCAAGCCACTGGCCTGGCCATATCTTCATTTCTCTTCCCCTTCTTCTTTCTCTGCCTGGAGTTTAAGGTTTACGCTGGTAGCCTGCTTAATCTTGTGTCAAATTAGCCCACTGGACCCTAGGAGACATTCCCTAATTTATAATCTAACCTCATCTTCTTTGTGGGGATACGTTCTTTGTATGAATCTGTAGAGTCTCAAGCCAGAGGTGCCATTTTTGATGGATTTACATCTGTCTGTTGAGATCAGAATTTCCCTGGGAGTCTCTGTGTTTGCAAGTGCTCATTAAAATTCCCTCAGAAAGCTTTACCTGAGGGAGGCTCATAGAACCACAGACAGTCCATTGCAATACTCAATCTGTCTTTTGCTTTGACATATGGGGACTTGCTAGCTGGGAAGGGAATTCTTTTGAGATGCAAAGACAAAACCAAAAATGATACAGATCCTGTCCTCAACAAGTTTATGTTTAAATACCATGCCCCCTGCTTATGCTTTTCTCTAATATTTTTTTAATAACTAATGAGCATTCATTTTCTTTGCCCCTATCCCTCACTGGGAGAAAAAAAATCAAAACCCTTGAAACTAATCTATGTAGTCAAACAACACAAACTCTCACATCAAGTGGATTGAGCACCGGTCCTCGAGTCAGGAGGACCTGAGTTCAAATACAGCCTCAGACACCTGACACTTACTAGCTGTGTGACCCCGGGCCAGTCACTTAACCCCATTGCGTAGCCCCCAAAAATAAATTTTCACATCAGTCAAGTCCAGAGAAGTGCGTCTCCTGCACCTTGAGTCCATCATCTCTCTGTCAGGAGATGAGTCTGCTTGTACTCTTCATTCCAAACCAAGGTACTATCTGGTTCTTGATTCAGGACAAGCTAGATGAGGTCTCTCCTGCAACCAAATCCTTTTTCTTTCAAGGACTTTTGCGGATGTGAATGTAGACTTGCTATGGTATTAGGAGACATAGGTCTGAAACCAGCAGGGACCTCAGAGACCACCTAGCCCCTCATTTTACAGATAAGGAAACTGAGGGAGGTTAAGTCACTTGCCAAAGGTCACATAAATAATAAACATTGGAAGTGGGATTTGAACCTAGGTTCATAATGGCCTAGTGGGTAGAATGCTGGACACACAGTCAGGAAGACCTGCTGTAGACATTAGCCATATTAACCTGAGTAAGTCTTTTATCCTCTCTGAGTCTCAGTTTATCTGGAAAATGGGGATAATAATATTAATAATAATAATAATGATAATAGTTAGCTAACAGGATTGTTGAAAAGACCAAATGAGTCTCTGCAGACCTTAGTGACCCATCTAAATGCCAGTTATCATTATTATCCTTAGACAGCGCTCATAATAGGGAGTCAGGGAGTGGAGGGAGGCACCTGGATTTGGGAAAAAGAGGTGGGTTTAAACCTCACTTTCAGTGTGTGTTATCTGTGTAAGCTTGGGTAAGGTCCTATGCTACTATTTATTGTTTTGTTTTGTTTTGTTTTGCTGGGCAAAGGGGTTAAGTGACTTACCCAGGGTCACACGGCTAGTGAGTGTTATGTGTCTGAGGCCGCATTTGAACTCAGGTCCTCCTGACTCCAGGGCCAGGTCTCTATCCACTGCGCCACCTAGCTGCCCCTCTACTATTTATTGTTCTTTCATGTTTGCTTTTTTTATTTTTTGGCAGACTTGCTCATGTGGATAAAATGATGATGACTAAATCAACAAGCATTTTTATTAACCTCCCTTGGCCTCAGTTTCCTTATCTGTAAAATGAGGGGGTGGTCTGTGAGATCATTTCCAGCTCCAGATGGATAATTCCTGATTCTATAGCAAGCCTATATTCCCATCTTCAAAAGCCCCTGAAAAGACAAAGAATTATGATGTAGACAGAGCACCCGTCTAGTTTGTCCCTATCCAAGAACCTGATGGTCCCTGGGTTTGTAATAGAAAGACAATCAGGGTCTCGAGTCTGACAGAATATAAGCTCCTTGAGGGCAGGATTTGTTTCATTTTTAAAATTTTGTATCCCCAGTGACTAGCCCAGGGTCAGGCACATAGTAGGTCCTTACTAAGTGTTTGGGGATTGACTGGCCTCTACTTTTGTAGGTTTCCTTCAAGACTTATCTCCTTCATGAATTCTTTCCTGATGCCCTCAGTTGGTAGCACACCTCTTCCTGAAACTCCCGGGTATTCACTTTTATATACGTGGCATCTACTTGTATGTTTGTTGTTTCTTCCATAAGAATGGGAGCTCCTTGAAGGCAGAGACTTGGGTTTTCCTTCTTTGGTATCACCAGTGCTTAGCACAGTATCTGGCATACAGTCAGAGCTTAATACATGCTTTCTGATAAAGTGGAAAAAGGCATTGAACCTGGAGCCAAAGGCTTACTTTTGGCTCTGCTACTCACTACTAGCCCTTTCCTGTCTCTGTGCCTCGTTTTCCTCATCTCTGGAATGAGCTCTTCCTGCTTCCAGCTCTAAACCTACAAAGTCCTAGGAAAGGCAGATTGGAACCAGACCAGCCTCAATGCAGAACAGACTGTTGTTCTTCCAGGATTCCACTAGATGGCAGTGTTGTAGAGGACATGGGGTGAACCTCAACCACTTCGGAAGTTTTCTTTTGTAGAAACTTTTAGGTGTGGGATGGAAGCTGAGTCCATGGAGCTCTTTGTACCATGATGATTGGCAAAGAAACTCCCCCACGTAGGGGTCTCAGCAATTAAGAGAATTCTTTGCAAATCTTAAATACTCACAAACTCCAGAGGATCTCAGATTTCCCAGTAGACATTTCCTCCTAGATGCAGCCTGGAACCTGTCTTTGCTGGCCCATCCATTCTGGGCTGGTCCTTTTCCGCAGAGAGTTCATTCTATGTGATATTATGTGAATGCTTATGTGGTTATATCCCTTACTCTCACTAAGAGTCTCAATGAGTTATTATTTATTTTTATCCTCATCCTACATCTTATGGAGTTTAACTAGGTCCAGGGACAGGTGCTGTCCAACTCTTTATTGTCTTTCATGTTTGATCTTTGGCAGACTGCTGTTTCAGTAGATAAAATGAGGATCAAATCAATAAGCATTTATTAAGCACTTACTGTATTCCAGGTGCTGAGGATACAAGGGGGAGGAAGAAATAAATATTTATATGGCACCTACTATGTACCAGGCACTGTGCTAAACTCTTTACAAATATTCTCTCATTTCACAGCAGTCTTGGGAGGCAGATGTTGTTATTATCCCCATTTTACAGTTGAGGAAACTGAAGCAAATAGAGGTTAAGTGACTTGCCCAGGGTCACACAGCTACTAAGTATCTGAGGATGGATTTGAACTCAGGTCTTCCCGAGGCCAGGCAGAACACTCTATCCATTGCATCAACTGTGTCTGATACAAAATACGAAGAAAATGAAACAATCCCTGTCCTCAAGGAGCTTATTGTGGGCAGCTAGGGGGTGACAGTGCACAGAGTGTTGGGCCTGTAGTCAGGAAGATCTGAGTTGAAATTTGACCTCAAACACACTAGCTGTGTGACCCTGGGCAAGTTACCCTCTGTTTGACTCAGTTTCCTCATCTGTAAAATGGGGATAAGAAAAACACTTATTTACCAGAGTTGTTGTGAAGATCAAATGAGATAATTATGAAGTGTTTAGAACAGTGCCTGTCATGTAGTAGGTGCTATATAAATGTGAGCTATCATTATTTATCTAGCCTGATATTTTTGAGCGTTTCACAGGACCGTGGGACTTTGTACACTGCCCATAGTGGTTTCATGAGAAAATGTGACTCAGCCACATTTCCCTTGAGTATCTGGTGCCAGATTGGCTTCTAGATCTTCCTGACGCCAAGGAAGTGCTCCCTACCCAGTCTGCACCATGACTATATGTTGAGGATAAGAATGTCTCACATCACAAGGAGCAGGTTCCCAGGCCTATACCCCCAGATCCACCTTTGGCCTTGGGAAATCCAGCAAGTCTTGGAAGTTCAAGGCAAAAAGTCAGCCAGTAGGTAGATTATCTGCTAAAGGAGCTATTTATTTATTTATCTATCCATCCATTTATCTATTCATCCATCTATCTATCTATCTATCTATCTGTCTGTCTGTCTATCTGTCTGTCTACCTATCAATCTATCATCTATTTGTCTATCATCTATTTATCTATTACCTATCTACCCATCCATCTATCTATTATCTATCCATCCACCTATCTATCTATCATCTATTATCTATTTATTTATCTATCATCCATCCACCCATCCATCTATCCATCAAGCTTTTCATCCATTATCTATTATCTATCCATCTACCTGTTTATTATCTATCTATCATCTTATCTATTTACCTAATCTATAGTCTATCCTTCTATCATATATCTATCATCTATTTATCTAGCCAGCTATCTATATGTATCATCTATTCAGCCATCTATCATCTACTTATCCATTATCTATCCATCTATCTGTATATCTACCATCTATCTCTCATCTATACATCTATTTATTGTCTATATATGTCTATCTATAACCTTATCTATTTATCTAATCTATCATTTATCCATCGATCTATCCACTTATCTATAATTTATCCATCATCTATCTAGCCTATATTTGTCTATCTATCTATATATCATCTATCCATCATCTATCATCTATCTAATCTACCTGTCCATCTATGTCATTTATCCATCCATCTAACATCTATACATTCTATCTGTTATCTATCATCTTACCTATGTATCTAATCTATCATCTATTTATCCCTCTATCTAGTCTAGCAATCATCTATTCATCCATTTGCCTATCATCTGTTTATTTATCATCCTTCCATCCTTTTGCCATCCATCTATCTATCATCTTTCCATACGTGTATCTCTCTGCACTAAGAATATTGAGAAAAATTCAGTATAGTCCAGAGTTCTTTCAACCTTTGGGGATTTTTTGAATTTTCAGAAACAGCCAGTGAGGGAAAGCTGGAGCCTGGCATTAACTCACTTTCACAGAAGGAAACCATCAGGAGAATGCCAATTCCCTCCTTAAAGATGGAGTTTTGCCAAGGAGCAGACAGGTATGAAAACAGGGCTTACACAGGCTTCTCCAGGGGTGAACTGGACATCTGCCTTCAGGTCTAGTACCTCCATTAACCTGCTTCCAGAGGGAGGCTTGAAGAATCAGTTTGGACTTTCACATTGCCTGTGCTAAGGCAGAAGCCTGGGACAGACATTCTTTCCTAGAGCATCCCTCTGGGACTTGGAGGCCAGGACCTAAAGGGCAAGGTTGGCGGATGGTGCTGCCTGGCAACTTCTTGGCTAAGTGGGATGAAGGAGAGTCTAGGATAACACCTGAGGTTGTAAACCCAGCTGATTGGTGCCCTGGTCAGACATGGGGTTGCTGGGAAGAGGGCTGGATTTTGGGGGGCTCACTATGTCCCATCCAAACTAAAAAGTTGGGGTAGATGGCTCTATATATTATATACATATATTATATATTTTAAAATCTAAATGATATGGATTTAAACTACATAATATATATTTAATATATGTAAAATCTATGATATATATGTAAAACTACGTAACATCATATATTTTAAAATATATTATATGTGTGTATGTTATTTAATATGTATGCGTGTAGAAACCCGTATGAGCGCATGCTGTCTCCCTATGTAACGTGAACTGATTTTACAGATGAGGAAACTGAGGCTCACAGAGGGGCAGGGGACTTGCCCAGGGTCACACGATTAGTAAATGTTCGAGCCTCGTGGTCCTGGGCGCTTCCTCTCTAGCCTCGTTCCCCCCATACCGATGATCCATCATAACCCCCCTTAGAGTTAACGGGTCACAAGTCCTCTGAACGCGCTTCACCGAATCTTTGGAGGAGACGTTGATCTCTCTCAGCGGAGTCGTCTTAGGTAATAGAGACGCTCTCTTCTCTCCCGGCCTTCCTTCCTCTCCTCCTGCCTCCTCTCCTACGAGCCAGGCACGGCCCGCGGGGCTCTCCTGGAGTCCTGGGGCCTCCGAGCAGGAGGAGAGGCTGAGGACAGCCCGGAGGCGGCGTTCTGCGCCCACTCTCAGGCAATGGCATCCGACTGACTTCTCCTGAAAAGAGCCAGGCTGGCGCTCCCTTTCCTTCTCTTCCCCCTTAATGCCAGTCAGCCGGGGACATCTTCCAGCCTGCCAACCCTAGCCACTGGATCTCAGACCCAGAGCGGGAAGGGACCCCAGAGACCACCCAGTCCAAGCCCTCGTTTTACAGATGAGGAAACTGAGGCTCAGAGGGTACAAGTAATTTGCCCGTGATCCCACAAGGAGTAAGTAGCAGAAAAGAAGAAAATGATTTAAGAGGAAAGGATGATCCGGGAGCTGGGGGGTGGGAGAGGGAGAGAGGGAGAACCAGATGTCACCGCACATGGGACAGTCGAAGAGGAAGCTTGGTGACGTCCGCTGCACGTCAAGGAGCCGCTCTGGGATCATGGGGTGTGCCTCCAGGCAGCCCCTCACCCACTCATTCTCACAGCCTGTGCTGGGGCCTGGGCTCCCCTGCCTCTCTTGCAGTTGACTCTGCCTTTGCAGAGACTCCAGACGCACGTGCTGATCCTCCCTCGACTCTCACGGCCCCCTGAGCTCTGATTTGGACTGAGATGGCTCCTTGTTGCTCTCAGAACCTGGGCTGTGTTTCTAAACTGAGCCCCGACCTTGCCTGGTGTGCAGAAGGAAGCTGGAAACTTCCCTGACTGGGCAACGAGAGCTGGGCCAAATCCTTCCCTGTGAACCCTGTGCCCTCCCCCCATTGTACAGACTCCTTCGGGGTTTGTGGAGGTGTATATCTGGAAAGGGAAGCAGTCATGAAATAAAGATCAGTTTCTGGGAAGGTCTAATGGAAGAATAAGGAGAGCTCTGGGCCTCAGTCTCTTTATCTGTAAAATGGGGGAGCTGGGTTTGATGACCACTAGGGTCCCTTTTGACAAAATCTGTGGTCTTATGACCCCCCTCCCCCATAGCAGTTTAAAGAGTTGGGGGTCATAATAATACACTTCTCTAGACTCAGTTTCCTCATTTGTAGAATAATACTGACTGCCTTGTAGAGCAAGCCCAGCACAGTTAATAAAGGTCTGGGCTTGAAACCATCAAGACATAGATTAGAAACCAGCCACTGGCACTTGTGGTGTTTGTACCTCTTCAACACTTAAGCTCTCTGAGCCTCAGTTTCCTCATCCGTAAAAGGGGGACAATAATGGCACCTACTGCCCGGGGTTGTTGTGAGGATCGAATGAGAGGTTGTTTATATAGCACTTGGCAAACCTCTGAGAGTGCTATGGGTCTAGGTTAAAAGCTGCTTGAGGGTAGAGGCCATGTCTTGCCTTTCTAATGATTTTCTCTCCCAAGCTGCCCCCTTCTCCAGCCTTGAGTATACAGTAGGGGCTTAATCAACACTTGTTGATCATTTACTCACCATCCACCAGTGCAATGTTGAGTCCTCTGCCGATGTTATTTTTCACACCACTCATGAGTCTAGAGGAAGGTAGGAAAATTAGAGGCAGCAGCCTTAGCGTGGACCTAAACCAGCCCTCAGTGCAGCTCTGGAAATGCCAGGGAGGAAACAAAGACAGACACCTGCGCAGATGGAGCTTGGCCGTGGGTGTGTCTCCAAGGAGCCTCCGATAATACAATGACAGAGACAATTAGCTCTTTTTCCATTTCATTGAATGGTAGATTGGATAGAGGGCTGCCATTGGAGCCTACAAGACCTGGATTCAAGTATCACTTCTGACACCAGTCACCTACCCTTCCTGTACTCAGGCAACTCTCTAAGGTTGCGGAGGAGATGCTGACCTGCATCGGTCAAAGGGAGTGCCCAGAGCAAGCACAGACCTAGCCCCCATCTCCATCTCAGCAAGGCCCGGGCTTGCAGGTACCATTTGCTATGAAAAGGCAAAGAGTGAAAACAAGTGGGTAACTAAGTCCTCTGGCGGAATATTCCAGAGAGCTCTATCTTGCCAGCATCTTTGCCTTCATTTAGAAGAAGAAGTTCCTTCTGGTTAGGATGTTATTCTCTGAAACGAATACTTGTACGTCACCTTGGTTAGGTTTAAGCCAAGTTTTATCAGCTGTCGTTCTCGTCTGATTGAATGAGTGCATGTGATGTTTTGGGGTGCACGTGTAGGGAGGTCTCCTGGGGGTTTTCTGACATAGCCTCTTTTCCAATTCTGGGTATATAACCCAAGAACTATTTGTTCAGTTAACCAAGAGAGACAGCATGGCGTGGTGGATGAGGGCAATGGGCTTGGAGTCAGGACAGTCAGGGTTCAAAGCCTGTCTCAGACACTTACTAGCTGTATGAACCTGAGTAAGTCATTGAACTTCTTATGCCTCAGTACAATGAGGGGGTCGAATTTGATGGCCTTTTAAGGTCTCTTCTAGTTTTTTTTTTTTTTGTGTGTGGTGAGGTGGTTGGGATTAAATGACTTGCCCAGAGTCACACAGCTAGAGAGAGTGTTATGTGTCTGAGGCCAGATTTGAACTCAGGACCTCGTGACTCCAGGGCTGGTGCTCTACCCACTGTGCCACCTAGCTGCTCCTCTTCTAGCTCTTAATCTATTATCCTATGTATTGTTAACTGATTAGTCAATACCCAAGAATGAATGACCCGACTGACACTACTCACCACCGATAACCTGGGACGTCATTTTGGGTCACCTTCCCTCCTCCCATGTGATCTTCATTGGTGGGAAAATCAAGACCATCCCTATACCTCCTACTACTCACACTCCCCTGCTCCCTTGCCAAAGTCTTCTGGACTTATTTGGTGACTGGAAATCTGAATTCTCCAATGAACCCATTTAAATAACCAGGAGATCATGGTGCTCAAATGGCCTCAGGAGACGTGATTGTAGACATGGAAAGAGAAGAGTGAGACCAGCTCTCTGGCTCAAAGGTGGGGAAAGGGCTGCTTCGAGACTTACATGTTGTCTTCAAAACATATGGAGGGTCCCACGACATTGGCAGTTCCGCTTGTGATCTTAAAGGCAAAGAAATCCTTCGGGCATTTCTTGCTGTTGTCACATTTATTTCTTGAATTCTCTGTGGGGAGAATATTAGTGTATCAGTGACACCCAAGGGAGGAAGCTGCATGCAGACAGAGAAGAAGGGACTGGTGGGGTTTTCTCCGGTACCAAACGGGGCCGTATCTGTTGATAACCAGTATCTGTTGAGTGAACAAACCGAGAAATGAAAAGCTATTTTAGGAGACACATTTTGGTGTGGAGGATGAGGAAGAGGTTTTGTGAACTGGGAAGACCAAGCTTCATAGTCTGCCTCTGACACGTACTGACTTCGTGGTCATGGGCAAATTACTGGTCGCCTCTCGGTATCCTCTGACAACTCCCTAAGATCCTGTGTTGCTGAGACGGTGCCAATCTGCATTGGTACAGGGAGTTTTCTCACTTGGGTATTAACTATACTAGTGAAATCTCAGATCTAGTCTCTATCCTCTGACTACTCCTATCCCTCCGGTCCCTATCCCTAATCCTGTGACTCCTTGGGTGTCCTGGCTATCATGCCGTAGCTTCTTCTGAATTATTGGAGACAGCAAGACACCCACCACTCTGCCTTCCAACGGTACTTTCCAGATGGAAGAATGCGTTCCTCACAATGAATAAACCTGTAGGGTAGGTAGTACAAAAATTATAATCCCCATTTTACAGATGAATAAACTGAAGCCCAGAGTAGTTAAGTCACGGGGTCCAGGTTCCACATGGAAATATCTAAGGAGCTCTCCTGGAGTAGGACTTCTGAACTCAGTGATGGACCTGGCAAGCTTTGCCTATGGAATCTGCTCTTGCCCCCTGTCTCCAATTGGAACTCCACCTTCAGGAATGGACCTGTAGAAGACGTGGTGTGGGGGGTTTAAATTACACAGGTTTAGAACTCTGCCCCCATGGGTGAGTGAATGAGCGAAACTCACCTAGCTGACTGTAGCCAGCCACACCCAGAACATACTTGCCATCTGTCCATCCCAGATCTCTTGCCTTCTGCCCTGGTACCACAGGGGCACCCCCACCCCCATGATCCCTTTCCACCTCTTCTCTGGGAGCAGTTCTCAAACCTATACTCCCACTGGAAAAGGCGTGATAATCAACTCAATGATGGCTCCACTCACCATTCCTGACGACCCAGACCAAAGTTCTGCTTCCCGGCTCTCACTCCTCTATTTGTATTGTCACCTTTTATTAGAATGTAAGCTTCCTCAGAGCAAAGAGTGCCTTATTGTTGTATTTGTATCCCTAGCCTGGAATATAGTAGGTGCTTAATAAATGCTTTTTCCTTCCTTCAAGCCTGGCAACCATGATAGTTAATAACAGCTAGTATTTATGCAGTGCCAAATATTATTCCATTTTATCCTTACAACACTCCTGGTAGGTACATGCTGTTATCATTCCTATTTTACAGATGGGGAAACTAAGGCAGAGTTTTTTTTTAAGTCACTTGCTTAAGTCCACACAGCCAATAAGCATCTGAGGGTGGATTTGAACTCAGGTCTTCCTGTCTCCAGGCCCAGCAGTCTATTCAATGGGCCCCCTAGCAACCTCAACCCCATGAGGTAGGAATTACAGAATTTCTTTTCCTACTAAGGACCTCAACCACCTCAAGAGCCCTTAGGGGGTAAAATCAGGCTGGCTTGTTGGACCATAGGAGACCTCTCGCACTTTTAATTGTTAAAATTGCCCTAAAACCTCATCTCTGCAAATGTCACACTTTGGTGCCAGATCTACCCCCCACACCCCTTTTTAATGAGAGCATATAAAGAAAAATAGCTCTTTGAACCGTTGTCCCCTAGGGCTGTTTGCATGCAGGGGATGAAACCTGTGGCTTTCTGCCTGACAGGTTGTAATTTATATTAATGTGTGTTTTTAACACTATCTGACAGTTCAGAAGGCACCATTAGGAAGAAGTGGATAAATGCCGAATTAGGAAATTTGGGACTGTAGGGGAAAAGGAGCATTAAATAGTCAAAATCTCTACCAGAACAGAGCTAGAGTCAGTCTGGTTTTCTGTCTGGTAGAGACAGCAGCATTGCCGCCCTCCAGAGGGGGAGGCTGATTGAGAGTCCCACTCTATGCTGGGGGCACCCGAGAGGTCATCAGCAGGGCCTCTGGGAAGATGCCTCCCGCCTCCGGAGAGCTCTGCATTCTGGAAGGACCCCAGCATGGAGCTCTGTGATAACCCTGGGGAAGCACCTCCAGGAGAGGCGTCCAAGTGCATGCCCTTTCTCCTCCCAGGATCTGGGGAGAGGGAAGGGAAATTGGTCTTTCTGGTAGTCATGGGAGGAGGGGAAAGAGGAGGAGGATGAAGAGAAGGAGAAGGAGAAATAGGAGGAGGAGGAGAAGGGGAAGGAGAAAGAGAGGGAAAATAATGTTATTAACTACCTAAAGGAGACACTAATTTTGAATTGATGGAGCATATATGTATATATTATACATATACATATATGTAGGGAAAGAAGGAGAGACAGAGAAGAACACACAGAGAGAAGAGAGAACAGGAGAGGGGAGAGATCCATACACAGAGACATAGAGATAGGAGAGAACAGGAAGGGGGAGAGAGACACAGAGACAAAGAGAGAGAGACGGAGTCAGAGAGTGAGAGATAGCTTGTAATTTCATATATATATATATATAAAACATGTGACTTGTAAATACACCTCCACAGATATATTCATATTCATATGCATGTGAGAAAGGCTTATTGACTCCCAAAGACAAAGAGAATGCACAGACTCCTGGAACCTTGAGCCTTTCTGACCGGGTTCCCACCAAAGGCTGAGCCTGTGTGAGACAAGCCCAGCAGGATAACAAGCTGTCCCAGTGCCCAGAAGGACACTTACATGTTGATTGTTTAAGGTTAATTGTTAACAGGATCTGACTTTCATTGGTTTTCAGTTCCTGGTGATGTGGTTTCTTTATGAGTTCAGGAGAGAAAGGGAACAGGAGTTGGCACGGCCCTCTGAAGCGTCTGCTCTGGTGCACAAAGAATGGGGCACGGAGGACAACTCTGCCCAGCTTCCCCCTTGAGACAAATTAAAATCAGAATATCTCTCTGTGGAGACTCGAGTCATCTGAAGATCCTGCCTCTGGGTTCCTGGTCCCTCTGCCTCCATCCCTGTTGGTCTATGCTCACCCCCTCTTACCATCTCTGCCCATTTTCTGGGTCTGCCTCCTTTTACCCAACTGGCTGGCATGCCCAGGGGAGAGGGCAGCACCTGCCTTGTCTCTGGCCTTCTCGGCATCACCATGTCTGCTGACTCTGTCAAATTTGCTGACAGACTTTTCTGGGTTAAAATTGTACTGGAGAGCTGATTAGTTTGCCCAGGCTAACATTCCAATCAGCCTCCACCCAGCAAATATTTATTCAACAGCTGCCGGGGTCTAAGAATGGGAAAAGCCCATGAGAAGAGTCAGTGGTGATGACAATTAATTATCTCTCATGGTCCAGACTAGAGAACCCTCGAAGGAGACAGGAAGACCTGTATTCAAGTCCTCCCTCTGACTCATCCTGGCTGTGTGACCCTGGGCACCCAGGAGGTCTCACCAACACCTAATCTCTCAGTGCCCTAGGCAGCTCTGTAAGATTCTAGGTCACAGACGAGGTGCTACCTGCTTTTTACTCCGGAAAATCTCTGTATCAGTGAAATGATGGGTGCAGTCCCTATACCAACATATAAGGTACTATGCTGGGTTTTGGACACACAAAGACAAAAATGAAAATGGGACTTGCCTCCAGGGAGCTTACAGTCAACTGGGGACAGGGGAAACATGTACACATATAAGTCAATACAAAATAAATGTGAAGTAATTTCAGGTTGGGGGCAGAGCACTGACAACTAGGGGCATCAAGAAAGGCATCTTCTAAGAGGTGGCAGGTGAACAGACCCGAAGGGAACTGTCTGTGGTCCTTAGTCCTTGACCTGCCTTCTGCCCCTCCCCCACCTTCCAACAGCATAACAGAAGAAGAAGAACATTAGATCAGGAATCAGAAACCCCGGGTTCCAATCCCAGCTCTGTTCCTTTGTAGCTGGGTGACCCTGGCCAGGTCACAGCATTTCTGAGCTTCAACTTTTTCATCTATAAATTGGGGACAATAATGTCTATCCTTTTTATTTTTCAGTGCGAGACCCATGTATGAATAAAGCAATGGGCTGTTAGAGCTGGAAAGGGTCTTGAAGATCATCTGGTCCAACTCTCTCATTTTACTGAGGTCTAAGTGACTTGTTGAAGGTCACACACAGAGTGGCAAGGGCAGGATTAGAACCTAGGTCACTTGACTTTGAAACCAGAATTCTTTCTCTGGTATCATGTAGTGTGTGAAAACTGGAAGACTTGAAGGTACAATACAACATAGATTCAAGGTAATCCCATCAGTAAAATAAATGGGCTACTGTGTTAGTGATCTCTTGGTCTCTGATGAAGGGATGCTGACAAGGAGAGGGTTAGTCCTGCGTGAAGTAGATGAGGTGTCCCTCACACCCAATAGTCAATCAGTTACTCACTTATTCTCCCCTTCTGTCCACTCACAGAAACGCCCTAGATTAGGCTCCCATCAGCTCTCACCTGGACCTTAAAAGGACCTCCTAACTGGAGGCTTCTCTTCTCTCCCTTCCCTGAACATTCCCCCCAGAGCTGCCAAAATGTCTCCCTAAAACCCGTGTCTGACCATGTTACTCTGCAGCTCAAAAAGCTTCAATGTCTCCCTAGGATAAAATACATAGTCCTCAGACTGGCATTGAAAGTCCTTCCCAGTCTGCTCCAGCTTCCTTTGCAGGCTCATGTATGTGTACTTCCTTTAGGGTCCACACAAACTAGCCTGTTTTCTTTTCCCCAAATTTGGCTTTCATCTCCCACCTCAGGGCCTTTGCAGGCTGCCCTGTACTTGAAATGTATCCTCTTCTCATCTTGGTCTCTTAGAATCCCAGACTTCCTTCAAGGCTCAGCTGACATGCCATTTTCACGTGCATTGCACAATCCCTGCAATACAGGGGCCCTTCACCGGGGTCCATGAGCCCCCAAAGGGCTGGTGGATTGATTTCAGAAGGTCTGAGCACTTGGATGGGGAAAAATTACATCTTTAGTTCAATATAATAGTTTTTATTTGTAATCCTGTGTATTTTATTTTGTGGTCTTACAGACAAGATTCAGAGGACTCCACAGGCTTCAGCAGGCTGCTCAAGGGGTCCATTACACAGCAAAGGTGAAGACCCCCACTGACCTTGTGGTTATTGCTGACTCTTTCCTCAAACAATCATATGTGTTTTTATCTCTGTTCTAAACCCTAGTAGAATGTAAGCTCTCTGAGGGTAAGAACTGTCTTGTTTTTGTCTCCAATGCCTAGCACAGTGATACCATGGCCACTGCTTGTTGGAGTAGACCTCTAGATTCTAGAAGTCTGCAGTTCCAAGACTCTAAAATCCTGATTCTTCTTGACTCAGCTGGCTAGCAGCATCAAGGCAGAAATGTTGGACCTGAGAGACATAACATGGTGGAGGGGGGGTGGGGAGAGGCGGAAGACCCTATGGGCTTAGTTATCTAACCTGCAGCAGGTTGGCTTGGATTTCTCCCCCTCCCCTCCTTGAAAAATGGTATTTACTAAACCATCCCTGCCCCCTGCCCGAAGTCACGCTGAGCAGTGACTAGAAGGCCCATTGCCAAATACAATGTCAAGACTAATTAACCTCAGCTGCAGTCCCTAATCGTTAACACTTCCCTGGAGCTCCCTAGGCTTTGCCTGTCTCAGTGACCGTGGCTACACAGACAAAACGCCTCAGCTGCCCCAGCCTGGTGTCAGCCCCAGAAGGCTCTCTGTTCAGAGCGGCCTCATCGGGCAGTCCTTGGCCATGGAAGAAGTCTAGGCCACTACACCCAGGAGGACACACAGGGCCTGTTTACAACTTGCCTGGCCTGGCTTTACAACGGGAGGGAAGGAAGGAAGGAAGGAAGGAATGAATGCAGGAAGGAAGGAAGGAAAGAAGGAAGGGAGGAAGAAAGGTAGGGAGGAAGCA